GGTGGGCGCGGGGGGTCCCTCGTGGCCCAGGTGAGGGGGGGTCCTGCTCCGCGATCGGTCCTCGGGGGGGTCTCCTCTGCTTTTCTGCACCGCGGTGTTGGCGGGGGTCCCATTGCTGGGGGTCTCATCCTGACCCCCCCTCATTCCCACAGCGGGATCCCAGTGACACTGGGGGGCTCTGGGGGGGGCTCTGGGGGACACCCCGTGTCCCCCCCGGTGGGTTCCGGGAGCGGGGGTCCCTCCCCAGCGGAGCGGTCCCGGCCGGCCCCCCGTGCCCCCCGGTCCCGGCGCGGCCCCGTGCCCGAGAACCTGTCGAGCTCTGCTTCCTGCACGGCCCCAACAAAAACCCTTTTCAGCCGGAGCAGTCCCCGTGCCAGCCCACCGCTGTCCCCCCTGTCCCCCGCTGTCCCCCCGCTCCACCGGGCCCCCCGATCCCCGTCCCCGATCTCCGTCTCCGGTCCCCGGTCCCCGATCCCCGTCCCCGATCCCTCCTGGCTGGGAATTCCCGTCCGTGCCCGGAGAAAGCTCCGCCGCAGGGGCCGGGCCGGGTTTGTCCCCCTCAAGGGCAAAGGTTTTTGCTGGATCACCTTCCCGCGGCTCTCCCGGCTCGGGGGGGTCCTCGGGAGCCCCCCTGGGATCCCGTTTTTCCCGGGGGGGCCTGGCAGCAGCTGCTGGGTGCGGGCATGTGCCGCTCCGCATTCCAGGGATGCATTTCGGCCCCGCCGTGGGACGGGGAGTTGTTGTTGCTCCGGTGCAGGAGGGAGCGGCGCCGTTCCCTGCGGAGCAGCTCGGGGGGTGCGGGACCCCCCCCCGCCCTCGGGGACACGCGGATCCCCAGCCACGGCCGGGTCCTGCCCGCTCCGGTGGCATGGCAGCGGCTGCCGGGGGGCACCGGGCGGGGGCACCGGGCGGCACCGGCACCGATCGGTTCGTGCCCTCCCGGCAGCGGCCCTGGGGGGATCCTGGGGGGCCGTGACAAGGACCCGCCACCCCCCCACCTGCGCCGCGTGTCCCGGCGTGTCCCAGCGTGATCCCCACGGGGCGCGAAGGCTCCGCCGGCTGCGGGGGAGAGGCTCCGGAGCCAGAACCCCCCCGGGAATTCGCGTCCCGTTCCCCGGGAGCCGCCGCTGCCCGTCCCCGTGGCGGGGACCCGGAACAGCGCGGGGTTCTCTCCGTGCGTGGGGGGTGGCCCCAGTTTGGGGTGTCGGGGCCGGTGCAGGGGGGCCCCCGGACCCCCCCGGGGGTCGCAGCCGCGCCCCGGTGCCGGATGGAGGCTCCGGTGCCCTCCGCTCACAGGTGCAGGGTGGGGACAGGAAAGGGACACTTCCTGCCCGACCTGCCGCGGGGGAGGGGGCGTCCCGTGCTTTTTTGGGGGGCTGGCTCCTGCCCTGGCTGTTGGCAGCGGAGGGATGCTCGGGGGGAGCCGCGGCATTCCCGCATTCCCGGCGGGGGCCAGGCGGGCACGGGGCGATGCCGGAGCCCCCCCCGTTCGGCGGGGTTTGCGCTCCCCGCGGAGCCGAGCCCAGGGGAAGGTTTTGTTTGCTCGCTCCTCCCCGGCCAGGTGAGCGCGGGCTGGGAGCGGGGCTCTTATCAGCCCTCCCCAGATTAGGGAGCTCCTCGGGCCGCCCGCTCCGGCCGCTCCCGCCGGGGGCCGCTTTGGCTCGTGGAGCCGGTGACCCCGGCCCGAGGGGGTGTGGAGGTCCCTGGGTGACCTGGGGAAACTGAGGCACGGCACGTCCGGTCCAGGAAGGCTGAAGACCGACCCCCCTCCTCCCAAAATCTGCAGGCGGGGGGAGGCAGCACCCACATCTGCATCCCTGTAGGAATTGGGGCTCTGCCCGGGGCTCGGGGGTCTCTCTGGTTCCAGCTGGCTGCTGAGGAGAGCGCTCTCCTGGCGGCGTTCCCGGCTTTCCCTCCCCCCGGCTGGGCTTTCGCAGATCGCTGGAGCTGGCTGAGCTCCCCCTGCCTTGGCCCGAATCCGCCGGGGTCCTGCGGCTGCTCGGCAGGAGGAGGGGGACGGATGTGGGGCCGTCTGTCCGTCCATCCGTCCGTCCGTCCGTCCATCCATCCATCCATCCATCCATCCATCCATCCATCCATCCACCCACCCCTCCAGGAGCGGTCGCTCCCTCTCCCGGCTCCTCTCCAGAGAGGCTCCGCTGGATTTTCCTGCTCAGGGACCCCCGTGGCAAACACAGCGGCCCTGGGGAGAAACTGGGGGGGCTGCCGGAGCACCCCCCAGCCCCCGCCTGCTCCTCCCGGCTCCGTCACCTCTGGAGCGTGGTGGGAGACGGATGAGGAGCTCCCCTCGCTGCCCAGCTGCTCCCTGGGGAGGGGGCTCTGGGGCTGGGGGCTCTGGGGGGGTGCACGACCCCCCCGCTCCAGACCTTGCTGAGGTGTCCGGCCGGGATTCTGTGCCATCCTCGCCTCTCCCACCCCGGTGGGGGGCACAGTTTGGGGTCCTGGTGCCCGCAGCCTCCCACAGCCCCCGCTCCCAGCTCAGCCCCCCCCGCTTCCATCCAGCCCCCCCCGTTTGCCAGGGCGGATTAGGACGGAGCACGGCCTCACATTCCTGCTCCCCTCCCTTCCCGGCCTCCCCCTCGTGCCGCTCTCTGACCATCTCCAGCACGATCCCGGCCCCCCCGGCCCCCCAGCCCAGTGCCACCAGCGCCACAAACCGGTCCCGGAGCCCCCCAGATCCCGACCCCGCTTCCCCGGGAAGCCGGTGGCCCCTTGGCTCACCCCGGCTGGGGGACGCCCCCGGTGTCCCCCCTGCTCTGCTGGGACCCGCGTCCCGCACTCCCCCTTTTCCCAGGAGCTGCGGGTGGGCTGCCGTGCCGGGAATCTTGGCTGGAGGCAGCGGGATGCCGGAGCTGCTTGGCTTGGGTGGGCTCCCGCCCCCCGGGACCCGCGGGACCACCGGGGGAGCCGGGGGACACCCCGGGGGCTGCAGGTCCGGTGGGGTTCGGGGTGTGGGGGCAGGACCCCCCCAGCTCTGAGTCACAGCAGCTGCCCTGAGTCACTTCCCCCCTAGGTGAGGGGGGACAGCGGTGCCCCCCTGTGCCCCCCCCCCCAAATTCCTTTGTGCCGAGCTGGCAGAAGCCAGGAGGCATCACCCGCCTCGTTCCCTTCCCTTCCCGGCGGCTCCCGCTTTCCGGCACCCC